CCCTCCCTGGCAGGGTTCAAGGCCAGGCTGGATGGAGCTCTGAGCACCCTGGTCTGGTGGAAGATGTTCCTGCTCATAGCGGGGGGGTTGGAACCAGATGAGCTTTAAGGTCCCTTCCAAACTTTACCATTCTATGATTCAATGAACTTCTAAGTGACTACCCTTTATCTGGAGGTTGCTGTTCCTAGCTGGGACTTGACAACCAATGGGTGAAACTCTTGGCCTGGTGCAAACGCAGAGCAAACAGATTCATCCAAAACTTCCTGCAGAGAGCTCAGAAATAACGTAAATGAGTCAATCTTCTCTGCCTCGACTCAGGCCTAGCAGCGTGTAACACCTCCAGTTCTTGCGTTTTCGCTGAGAGGCAATAAATTCCAAGCACCCACTGTCCTGTCTGCTACAAGGTTACAGCCTTGCTTAAAACTCTGAACTCATGAAACCCAGCTGTGGATCTGCTAAGCATCTAAGAACACAACTCTGCTTACACAGCAGGAAGCAGAGCACTCGCTTGACTTCCTGGGAAGCTGCAATATTTTGGTAGGGCTGACAGCCCTAAATACTGGAAAAATCATGATCCAGACCACTGAGATCATGAGGTGGGCTAAAACGATTTAAAAAAATTATAAAGTGCTGGGTCAGTTCTCCTTGTCATCACCACGTCTAGGCTCTTGCTTGCAGCATCACATTGCTCACTTGCCTCGCGGTGCCCTAGCAATGCTCCGGTATGGCCAGGGCCACCGTAGCGTGAGAGGTGGAGGAAACAGATGGGACCACCCTCAGCTGCTGTGGGGTCATTCGGAAGAGATGACTGCACACAAGAGACGGGCAAAAGCCACAGTCTCTTCTTCTGAAAAGCTCTGCCTAAGCAAGAAAGAGCTCAGCTGAGCAGGAGCATCTGCACCTACCTGAGGCAGCAGCACAGCTGAGCAGTCTATTTGCTCATTCTCCTCCTGGAATTATCTACAAACATTTTTGTACAACCAAGGAATAAACAAATTACTCTCCAGCAGCACAATAAATTCAGCCAAATGTCAAACCTCTTCTTACCTCTGCCATCCAGTGCAATGTATTTCCCCTGGATGCTTGACTCGTGATGTTAAAGCCCTCAAGGATGTTCAGCGCTGTGATCAGTGCAGGACCTGCATGTGGAGGTGGGGGGCTGAAAACAAGATGACCTGTGAAGGGAGGAAGAAAGGAATGAAGCTGCTTTTGTCAGATACTGTCCAGTTATAGTACCTTCCCATAAGCTAGTGTCCTTAGGGACAGGGAAACCTTTCCAGATTTGAGGGGAAATAAAAGAAAGCAACATGATTTGAAAAAAGATTTCCCCAAACAGTCCTGTTGTATCTTCCTGTTTCTTTACAACGCATGAAGGAAGCCCAAACAGGGATTGGTTTTTTACATCTGAAATTCAGGTCTTGTTGGTTGGCTGGTTGGTTTCTGGACTGCAGTATGGAAGGACTGAGACAAAATGGGTTTGCAACACTACAGCTATGAGGAGAGTAAATGCACGGATTTCTAGACAAGAACAACATTTTAGAAACTTTCTGCATACAGTAAGATGTTCTCCCTTGTAGTTCAACTTTGGGAACTGGCTTCAGACATAGATGCTAGCCTATAGTCCAGCTTCTATCTAGACAGTGCATCAGTACGTGATCATGTTGCATCTTTGCACTCTAACGCTATCAAAATACCATCAGTCACCACCAAGGAAAAACCAGGCCCATTTCAAAGCGCGTAAAACCCCCTGAACTGCCTACAAGGCATTAGTGTCAGCAGGCAACAGCAGGAAACCCCCTGGAGGGCTCTTCTGCAGACACCTCAGCGCAGCTTTGACTCCATCTCCTGTTAAACGCTGCTGCCACCTCTCGCCAGGTGAAGCAAACTTTTACCTGGAGTCGCCTGGCAACGGGTCAGGCGCTCACCTCGATAGACCGTATGGACGGGGTTCTCCACTGTGACACTGTAGTTGCTGAAGTCTTCCTCCACCAAGACTCCTCCGTAGCTGTGAACCTGCGTGGGAAGGCAAAGCAGTGCATGCTGAGCAAGCCGAGCCAAGGCTTTCTGCATTCCTCATGCTGGTCCAGGTGAACACATGCTGCATTCTCAAACAAATACCATTGAGGTCCCCGAGCCAAGTGCCAGGTTCCCCAGGATACCCCCAAAATCCGTGCTGTCGTGGCGTGGGTGGCCTGGCTCACCATTCGCCACTGCTGCAAGGCTCTGCAGTTCACCTCCGAAAGCTCACCCACCCCATGGGTGCTCTGAAGTCACTCTGCCTAGCCATGAGGACGGGGACTGGCACTGCCTCGCAGCCTCCCCTCCCCTGTGTGGCAAGGATAAGTACATTAAAGGTCACGAAGCATGTGAATACTACCAGGAAAAAAGATATATATGGATCCAGAATAGAAGGAACCTGGGTGTAGCAGGTTGCCATCACCAGAAATCTTTAGCATACAGTTCCCACCCTATTTCTAATTATTTCAGGTGATAGTGGGTCTGCTGTAGCCTTAGTCTTTCCATAAGACTCTCCTAGAAGTACAATTTACTGGGCTTGGTAACTTCCACGAACACAGTAAAGATGGGCAGTTCCCTCCACGGCAGGTCTTCTGTGGTTCAGTCTTGGTGGAGACAAGGTAGGACCGCCACAACTGCACTCTGCTGATCTTGAAATCCCCTGAGGCAGGTAATACTCTCAGGCAGTGTACAGGTGGTACTGTGCTCGTGGGCCAACTCCTTCCTTCCACCCAGGAGAAGCCACACAACCTGCTGAGAGGTTCTGCTGGGGCGAGTTGCTGCTATGAGCCCTCTGGATTTCCATCCAAAAATGGCCAAGAACAAATAACCTGTGCATGCTCTGATTTTTAAACTAGCCAGCGAACTTGGTAAGAAAACTTCTTCTCTGGCAGAAACGGATGAATCGCTGGAGCAGGAAAGCTAGAGCAGGGCGCGTTGTGGGAGGCAGCATGGCAAACCCCTCCAAAGCTGCAAAAGAAGATGCAGCCCCTACTTCAGATCCTTGTCCCCTTCCCAAAGCAGTCCAGGCCAGGCTGAACCCAGCAGCCGAGATGAGCAGACAGGATGAGATGAAAGCCCGGGAGAAGCAGCCGGGAGCGGGGCAGGAGGAGCCTGATGGCACAGAAAGGGGAGAAGCCCTGCTCAGCCACACGCTGCAGACACCATCTCACATTCCCCAGTGAGCACATTTTTGCACCTATGCCTCCCTGCCGCGGGACGGAAACAAAGCGTAGGGTGTTTTGGAGCTTGACTTGATTTCACCAGGTCGACAGCCTCCCTTTGCTGGCACAATAAACACTATGGGAAGGCAGCACTTTGCGCTGCAGCCGAAGCTGGAACTGCGCACTTCATCCCAGAGCTTGCCAAGGTCTTTGGTGTTGCAGCCCTGGGCCTTGCTCCTCCGTAGGGAGTTTGTGCTTCCCTGCGGCAGCCCTCAGGTCAGGGGAACAGGGTGATAAAGCAGGGTTTAGCTGAGGAGATGAATCACAAGCTTGGCACTTGTCCTGTTCCTCATTCTCCACCTCTGCTGTGGTCCGGGTGAACCGCAGGAGAAGATTTCCGAATACAGGGCTCACAAATGTCTCAGGCTTGAGCTGAATGAGCCCATTCCAGATTGCTGGTGACATGCTGAAGGTGCATCACTTGAACCAAATGGTAAGGACAAATGGTGCCACCAACCGCCGTGACGGCAGCTACACAGGTATAAGAGTTTTGGATTTTTTTACCAGAATAATTACTTTGTTTGTCGTTGCTATTTTTTTCCAGAGCACCTCTAACAACAGGAGTTAAACCAGGGCAACGCTAGGGGGGACCAAGCCTGTCTGATCCTCTGCTCACAAGGCTCACGGTTTTATTTTTAAACCATTTTCCTGGAGTCTGTATCTTAGTCCCATTAACAACAAAAACTTGCTTCTCAATGCACCTCTTGTTACGAGGAAGAAGGGGTTGTCGCTAATACTAACAAAGCCTGAGGGGAGGGTCTTGAAATTGAGATTTGTCTTCGACAAAACAGTCTGTCCTGGTTCCAGAGGAAATGGAGGTTTCACTTCTGCAGGCTGTGGAAGTGACCTGCGTGTCACTTATACCACTGCAGTGACAGGGGCAGGAAAGAAAAAGGAGGCTCCATGCATTTGTCCCCACCATTGTGCTGACACTTGGCTATGGCTGATCTCCAGGCTGTCACCTTAGGCAGGTGACATGGCAGGCGACCCCTGGCCCGGGCTGTGCCGTGTGGCCTGGGGCAGAGACAGGGACAGACGTGGCTCACCTCGGAGATGATCTCCTGGGTCAAGTTCCCGCTGTAGAAAGCTGATAGGCCTTCCACTCCCACCAACTCCCCCTGGGTAAAGTCCCGGCTGGAGAAAGCTGATAGGCCTTCCACTCCCACCAACTCCAGGACGGCTGCGAGGTCCGGGCGCCTGACAAACATGCCAGGCAGTAAGGGCTGGCCGTCCGGCAGGAAGATCTCCCGGAATTTGTCAGAGTAGTTCAGCTCCTTCAGCTCGCTTACGGCTTTGGCTGTGGGTGAGAAGGGGAAGGACGTCCAGAAAAGCCAGGCTGCAGGAACGCGCAGGGGACCCGCAGTCACTGTGCGCCCGGCGGCGATGCTGGAGGCTTGGTGCTGCCTCTTGTCCCATTTCAGAACTGGAGGGAGGCTGGAGCGTGCGCCCATCAGAGCTGGGCAGGAAACCCACGGAAACCCCAGCACCCTTCCCTGGCTGGCCCTGGGCGGCTGCCCAGTGCGGGCTGCTCCAGCCTGTCCCAGACCAGCCCTGGGGAAGGGCTCCAGTTTCACTGCCACCACGCTCTCCCCTCGCAGACTGCGGCTCCCAACGCCATCCATCGCCAGGTCCGAAGAGCCCTAATTTCCCATGAATAACGACCTACCCCCCAGCTGCCTCGCACCCCAGCACAGTTGCCAGCATGCTCCTCCGTGCCGAGGAGCCACCCTTGGCTCCCCTTCGGGCACTCACCCAAATCACGTGTGACGTTAAAGCCCTCCTGGGCGACACCGGCCACGAGGCCCAGCAGCTCAGACCACGGGAGTCTGCCAAAGGAGAAAGGACAAGGAGAAACGTGCCTTGGGGGAGGGTGTTGCAGCAGGGCAGAGTCGGGGGAGAAAGCGCAGGGCTCTGCGGTCAGGGGGCTCCTGGAAGACCAGGCTGTGGGGCTGGAGGTGGCCAAAAGGAGCACCGAGCCTTCAGGGGGGGTTCTTTTTAGCAGGATCATCTCAGTGCTCCACGATGTGCACCAGAGAGGAATGTCACTGCAAGGACAGGGGATCGGGCATCTCTGCAGCACAATCTCAAGCCAGGCCCCGGCCCCAGGCACGTCAGTCGGACCCCTCCCTCCCAGTCCCAACAGGGCACCAGACAGCCACAATTTGTAAGGTCCAGCTAAAGAGAGAGCGAAAATGCAGACAAGCATGAAAATGTTCTGCGCCTATTTCTAAGAGAACATTTGTCGTCCGTCCTGTTAGCCAAAATTTTGCTTGGCAAAAACCCTGACCAAGCTGAATTCTTTCTTTTGTTAAACAAAGTACCACAAAAATGAACATATTTTTCAACACAAGCCTCCAAGCACCCCTTAGCTAATGGTTTCAACTGGTGGCTGAGAACGTGGTCCGATGGCGAGGGCCCGTGTGCTCCCAGCTCGCCCGTGGGGACTCCAGGGCACAGCCTGCTCAGCACGAGGACAGCCCGCCTGCGCCAGCCTCGTGTCTTACCTCCCGTGCAACTGGTGCGCCTGGTGCACGCCTTGTATCATGCCTGGCACCCCCACGAGCAGACCTGGCTGTAAGATAGGAAGGACAAAAAGGAAGAGTAGTCTCCTTCCCGTGAGGACACGGGACATGGTCCCCAGCTGCAAATCAAGGAGATGCAAGTCATGGGAAGTGTCTGCATGGTCTTTAGGAGAGGGGAAGAGGTCTGTAGCAACACACTAAATTAGGGAATAAAAGTTTTTGAAAGGAAAGAGGCAAGTTCAATCCTGGTCTCTACCCTGTTTGGTCAGGAGAAATAACTCAGCAGAATGACGCGGGGTTGCGCTCCCTCCTGGCACTCTTGTTCTCCCGGCTCCCCACTGCCGGAGGGACATATGTCTCTGCCCCCCAAGCCTTGCAGGCTCCAGGCGTTTTGGGGCTGCCAAAGAAGTGTTTTCCCTGGACTCCCCACGTCTGTAGGACCTGGGATCTCCCATGGCAGGAGAGTCCTCCTGTCACTTCCCCCTCAGCCAGAGAGTTGCGGGGAGAGGAGAGCTGGAGCCATCAGCCAGCTACAGCCCCGGAGGGGTCAGCGTGGGATGCTGGTCCTCACCTTGGTGTCCTTCTGCAGGTCCCTCTCCAGCGGGATGCCCAGGGGAGCCACCTCACGGAAGTCGATCACCCAGCTCCTGTTCTTGCGGATGTCGTGGACCAGCATCACCCCACCCCTGCAGCGAGACGCGGGTCAGGGCACGGCTGTCCCCGCACCAGCCGCTGCTGCAAAGCCGAAGTGCAGAGCGTGGGAGCCACTGGGCTGCCCTTCCCCGGGAGAGAGCCCGGGACAACCGAGCCAGGGCCGGCGTGGGACGCAGGCAGCCCCGGTGCTGAGCCTGCAGCGAGGCTGGATCTGTCCCTGCCAGCCCAGCTGAAGGGCCGCTGGCTCTGTTCCACTGCCAGGCTGGGGCTTTCTGGGTTTTTTTTTTTTAATCCGAGCAGTTTTGCAACAAAACAAGGTTTCTGCTTACAAGAGCAATCCATGGCACAGCCTGGAGAAGCTATCAGGTGTCAGTGTTTTATGCAACGCTCTCGAGACCTCCTGCAGAGCCGAGAGCACCAGGCTCCGGTGGCTGTCACCCCGGGGACAAGGGCTGGGAGGAGGCCACCCCTCACTGCCATGCCTCCCTGCCCGCTGCCCGGAGCCCGGCTCGGACCTCAGCCTCCTGCTGCAGCGGGAGCAGAGCTGACAGGGGGAAGCACTCAACCTCTGAAAGCATCGGGACTGAGCCCAGGGTGTGGCAAGCTCCTGGCGCACTCGCAGAGGGGCTTGGCAGCCTGTGGTCCCTTTTTCAACCCTCTCCAGACTGAGGTTTGGACTTTCTGGCAGCCACTATGGCAGACGCAGCTTTTCCCTCCCTGGGGGTCTCTGTCCCTCGCACAGGAAGGTTCCCCGTGGGACCGCCTGATGTCAGAGACAGAATCACAGAATCACAGAATGGCAGGGGTTGGCAGGGCCCTCTGTGGGTCCCCCAGCC